TGTCGCGCGCTACTGTCGTCGCCGTGGATACTATTTTAATGATGTTCAGCATTCCGCCAACATACCTCGGCAATCAGAATCGCATGTGACACCTGACTCACATGACCCCCGCTCACGTCGACCACATTTCAGCCGACGTCGATCTCCTTCACCCCGTCTTCGGTCTCCTTCCCCCATGCTTCGCCGTTCCAACCACGCCCAGGAGGAAAACTAACAGTCGCAGTTCCTGAGGCAAGAGCTGCGCCACCGACGAAATTTCCAAGGCATCATCTTTCGCCCCCTAACGAGATTGCCGTGTTTGTGGACGGTTTCGCCACAACTGCTCTTGTCGACACAGGTGCCGCTATTTGTATAATCAGTGAAGTGTTATGCCACAAACTGGTTGAAATTTCTTTACGCACAGCGAGTTCGCAACACGTCCAACCTTCTGCCACATGCACTGCTCGTGTTGTGATTCAAAGAGTGCTTTACATCGTTGAATTTGTCGTCCTTCCGCATGCGTCTCATGAAATCATCCTGGGATGGAACTTTCTTTCCGCTAATCATGCGGTTGTCGACTGCGCTCGTGCTCAACTCGTTTTGTTTCCATTCAGCACGACATTCATAGATCTCCCTCGCTAACCCAAAAAGGTGATCGTCGCCGCCGACGTCGTCATTTCTGCTTTTTCGGTTGCCGTGGTATCTCTTTTGTGCAACTCTGTTTCCGATTCAACTGCCCTCTTTATGCCGTCACAAGAATGCGCTCGTCGCCGGAACCTTGTCGTCCCGTTTGCCGTCATAACACTTGCCGATGGCTCCAGTGCCGTGTACGTGTGCAATCCGTTCCCTTGTCCCGCTACCTTATTGCATGGCGAATGTATTGGGAGTCTTGACACTTATGATGACATCTTTCCTTTCGATGCCCGTTCTGATACGACACCGATGTCCGTGGATGCTGTCACAGCTGCCACCGCGCCCTCACTACCTGACGAAGGCGTTCTGTTACGCAGCGTAGACACCGGCCTTACGCAAAACCAGCGCAATCAGCTCATTCAACTACTTGACCGTTTCCGCGCCTCCTTCGACCACGGACAACCTCCCTTGGGACGCACGTCAGTTGTCGCTCCCCATATCGACACCGGTCTTCATACTCCACTTCGTCAGCGCCCCTACCGCGTCTCGCAGGCTGAGCGTGACGTCATCACTCAACACGTTGACGAGATGCTGCAACGTGGTGTTATTCAGCACTCTCACAGTCCTTGGGCTTCGCCAGTGGTCCTCGTGCGAAAAAAGGATGGCTCCATCAGGTTTTGCGTGGATTATTGTCGACTAAACAACATCACACGCAAGGATGTTTATCCCCTGCCACGATTGATGACGCCTTGGATTGCCTTCAAGGTGCGGAGTTTTTCTCTTCACTCGATCTGCGCTCTGGATATTGGCAAGTGCCAATGGCTGAACCACGCAGACCGTCCAAAAACGGCGTTTGTGACCCCTGGCGGCTTATATGAATTTAATGTAATGCCCTTCGGTCTTTGCAATGTGCCTGCGACTTTTGAAAGAATGATGGACAGCGTTGTTCTCAGGGGACCTAAATGGCGCATCTGTCTTTGCAATTTAGACGACATAGTTGTATTCTCGGCAAATTTCGAAACTCATCTTTCCCGTCTGGAACAAGTTCTCCAGTGCCTTACGGCAGCCGGGTTGCAACTAAACTTTACAAAACTTTTTGGCGCCCGCAAACTCACAATTCTGGGCCACGTCGTTTTAAAAGAAGGAATATCGCCAGACCCTGCCAAACTGCGTGCCGTTGCCGAGTACCACAAGCCTACTACTCTAAAGGAGCTTCGTAGTTTCGTAGGCTTGTGTTCCTATTGTCGGTGTTTCATTCGCAATTTCGCCTCTATATTTGCCCCTCTGACTCAGCTTCTCTCCCGTAGCGCGGACCTCTCTGGCTGGAATTCCCACTGCGATGACGCATTCACGGCGCTGCGCTGGCTACTCACGTCTCCGCCAGTTCTCTGCCACTTCGATCCCAATGCACCCACTGAAATTCACACGGATGCAAGCGGTGTCGGCCTCGGTGCCATTCTCGCTCAACGCAAGGGTGGCTGCGACGAGTACGTTGTCGCCTATGCCAGCCGTACCCTAACAAAGGCAGAGTCCAACTATGCGTCATGGAAAAGGAGTGTTTGGCAATCATTTGGGCTATAGGAAAATTTCGCACTTAGCTTTACGGACGCCAGTTTGATGTTGTCACAGATCACCATGCCTTACGCTGGTTAGCGTCCATGAAAGATCCTACTGGCCGCCTCGCTCGTTGGGCTTTACGCCTTCAGGAATACGATATCCGTGTTGTTTATCGCTCAGGACGCAGACATTCAGACGCCGGTGCACTATCCCATTCTTCACTGCCTCCTGACCTTGCCTGCTTATCAACTGCCATTTGCGATTCGTCATCGTTGAGCATCACTGACATGCCATCCGAACAGCGCAAGGATCCTTGGATCAATTCTTTGCTCGACGTCCTCTCTCACAGTTCATCAGAAACGACTTCACGCTCCCTCTCTCGTCAAGCAAGACACTTTGCTGTCCGTGAAGGCTTGTTGTATCGCCGCAATTACGTGACGGACGGCCGTAGGTGGCTCCTTATTATCCCTCGTCATTTGCGTTCGGACTTCTGCGCTGCCTTTCACGATGACCCCCAGTGTGGCCACGCTGGAGTACTTAAGACTTACTCTCGCCTTCGTCTGAGATACTACTGGCGCGGCATGTATCGGCACGTTCACCAGTACGTTCGGTCTTGCACCACGTGTCAACGACGCAAGACGCCTTCTCACAGCTCTGCTGGCCCTTTGCAACCCTTAACCTGCCCAGCGAGACCATTCGACCGCGTTGGAATTGATATTTATGGTCCTCTACCCAACTCTCTTCGAGGCAACCGGTGGATTATCGTCACCGTCGATCATTTGACACGCTACGCTGAAACATCTGCGCTTCCTGTTACCACTGCGAAAGACGTTGCGTCCTTTCTTCTTCACCATCTCATTTTGCGACACGGTGCACCTCGTGAACTACTGAGTGACCGTGGACGCGTGTTTCTCTCGAACGTCGTCGACGAGCTGCTCAAGGCATGTCGCACTGTCAAACCGGGAAACCTCGGCATACGATCCTCAAACCAATGGCATGACGGAACGCTTTAACCGTACCCTTGGAGATATGCTTGCCATGTACGCCTCTGACGACCACACTAATTGGGACCAAGTGCTCCCTTTTGTCACGTACGCGTACAACTCTGCGCCGCAAACAACCACTGACTTTTCTCCTTTCTTCCTCTTGTACGGACGTGAGCCATCACGCTCCATGGACACCATTCTCCCTTACAGGCCTGATGTTTCCGAAGCGACGCCTGTTTCCGAAGCAGCTGCTTATGCTGAAGAGAGTCGTCAACTCGCTCGCTCATTTACCGCACAAGACCAATGGCGCCAGAAAACTGAGCACGATTCATCTGCGTCTACTGCACACTATAACCCAGGAATGCTGGTTTGGCTCTGGGTCTCATCTACCCCTCCCGGTCTTTCCCCGAAGCTTTCATCGAAATACCATGGCCCCTACCGTGTGGTGCGGCAAACATTTCCTGTCAACTATGAAGTTGAGCCCATTGATCCACCTTCGGACCAACGCTGCCGTGGGCGCAAAACAGTACACGTATCACGCCTCAAACCGTGTTATGACCCCCTTGTCGTGTCCTTCCTCTAGGTCGCCAGGTTGGCTCCTTTCTGCGCGGGGAGTAATTGTACCGAAGCATAGTGGCGCCAGCTCTGTACCAGCTTGTTGCGGCTAACGTTTCTCGGATAATAACCTGTGTTTTTACGCAACCTTGCTCGTTGCAATATATATATATATATATATATATATATATATATATATATATATATATATATATATATATATATATATATATATATATATATATATATATATATATATATAAGAGGTAGTTTTTCCAGCCTTCATGCTACAGATTACAGATGCCTCGCTTCGTCTGCCCCCATTTTCCTGAAAGGCTGAAAGGGAAGGCCTCCTGAAGACTTTTCTAATCCAGCCATACGCGTGTGTTATATGACGCACTTTTTAAATGCGAGAGCGTTTGGTTAACTCTACTGGCTTTGGGTTTGTTTTATTTATACTTATTTTCTACAGGCCTTATGCGTTGCGGCCCACCGTGATGGTCTAGTGGCTAAGGTACTCGGCTGCTGACCCGCAGGTCGCGGACTCACATCCCGGCTGCGGTGGCTGCATTTTCGATGGAGGCGGAAATGTTGTAGGCCCGTGTGCTCAGATTTGGGTGCACGTTAAAGATCCCCAGGTGGTCTAAATTTCCGGAGCCCTTCACGACGGCGTCTCTCAAAGGTTTTGGGACGTTAAACCCCACATATCTATCAATCTACCTTCTACGTTGCTACCGTGACAGAGTTGCTACGTTGCTACCGTGACTACAGTCTACCGTGAGTGAGTCATATTGGCGCTCGGCTGCTGACTCGAAGGTTACGGGTTCGTTTCCTGCTTCGGTGGTCGGATTTCTATGGAGGCGAAATGCTAAAAGGCCCGCGTACTGGGCGACGCAAGTGCACGGTAAAGAGCACCAGGTGGTTGGAATTTTCAGAGCCCTCGATTAAGTTATCTGGGATAATCGTATCGTGGTTTTAGGACGCAATACCCCGAATATTTTTACCGGGGCAAATGTGCATATGATTGACGACTGTGTTTTCTGCTGCATCACGTGGTAATAGAAACTGTGGTATTTGATTGTCTCTGTCCAAGACATATGTGCGACCAGGAACCACATCGCTTTAATAGAGGAATCGCCTTTATCAGTTATGTGACTGGGTTTCGGGGCTGTGAAGTATTCCGCTATTTGGGTGATAATGTTCACAATTTTCGTAATTTCAAAACCAAGAAGTCTTTATTCTGTATCTTATGTAATTATTCTCTACGCATTCGCCACTGACCTTGCGCAGCGTTGCCTGACGACGCTGGACTTGACGTCCCTGGGCGTTGGCAGCTGCGTAGGCACTGGCATGTACCTGGTGGCCGGCATGGTGGCGAGAAACTTTGCCGGCCCGGGGGTCATCTTCTCCTTCATCATCGCCGCCATTGCGTCCCTCTTCTCCGGTGAGTAGCCTTTGGAATTCTTTTTCATCCACTTGAACAAATTCTTGACCCCCCCTCCCCCTCCCCCACCAAAAAAAAACTGCTGTCTCGCTCGCGTTTTTGGCGAGTTTGGGACCAGGACGTGACGTGATGTTCCAGTGGTTACCGGGACATTGTGGTATTGTCGGTAATGACCTTGCTGATAATGCTGCCTGATCCGCCCCCGCGGACGCCCAGACAACCCCAATTCCATTGTCCAGAACCGACGCCGCAAGGGGCCTGCACTCGTTCGCTAACACCATGTCGGAAACTTGGCTGAGTGACCCCAGTGTCAGGAACAGCCACCTACACAAATTGGACCCATCGAGAAAGCTTCAAGTTCTATCGGACCTCTTCCGCCAGGATGCAACTTTACTTTGCCGCCTGTGGTTAGGAGTAGCTTTTACAAAGGCGTACTCCTTTCGCACAGGAATAGCGGATAGCTCCCGATGTGAATCATGCGACACTGACGAGACAATAGAACGTCTACTGTGTTCGTGTGAACGTTTTGCGAGCGGCCGCAACCCTCTACGAGAAACCTTAGAGATACTAGACAGTAGATCTTTTCTCCAAAGAGAAGATGCTTGGTTCATGGCTCTACGCGTCGCAGGCCAGCAAAGCGACGCGGGCATTGCTAAGTTTTCTAAAGACGACCGGACTACGCGACCGCTTATAAGCGTGCAATGAACAAGGTCAGATCTACACACACGTTGCCCTTCACTTCTCTCTCTCTTCTGCTTTAATCCCCTCACCCCTTCCCCCAGTGCAGGGCAGCAAACCGGACGTGCGTCTGGTTGACCTCCCTGCCTTTCATTTCTTCCCTTCCTCCTCCTCCTCCTCCTTGGGACCATTTCGCGTTTTGCGTTGCATGCGTCCGAGCAGCACGTTGTAAGACGGGTGTAGTTGTTTATTAGAGTGTGCGACAATCGGCTTCTTAAGGCCCGTGTACATGGACGCGACGGGGGCGGGCTGAGTTGAGTGGCGGGTTCAGCTTACCTCGACGCGCCCGTGTTTATATGAACTCGCACGGACGAGTTGAGGTGAGCAGTGATCGCAACGACGCTTTGTGTCGAGGCGAGCCGAAAGCTCGTCTTCCGGTACCGGTTTCCGCTCCTCCAAGCGCACGCTCTCGCCTGTCGCCGCTGTGGGCTGCGGTTGTTTACGCAGTTGTCGCTCCGCCACCGCAATAGCTGTCTTAGTATTTTTTCTCAGTTTGCACCAGCTGTACTTTATGGTTGTGTTGGTGTCTTGGCTAACACTGCACAACGCGATGGCAGCAGTGGTTCTGTTGCGGTACAGCGCTCACCGCAGGCGTATCCGCAGTCTTACGCACCGTCCCCTGTTCACCCCTGGCTGGTCTCTCCAAGAATTCGCCGGGATTCATGGCTTGTAACGCCTTTCATTTGTGTACCTGATGCTGTGGAAAATTCTTTGAAGCCCTACACGCGAGTCATTTTTTGCAATAGGTGTGGCTTGTCGCTAATACGAATTAAGTTGCGCCCTGAACCTCGTTGAAAATGCTAAATTGAAAACAATAAGCAGTTTTTAAATGAAAATGACTAAAGACCCTCATCAATTGTTGGAACAAAGTGTACAGTTCCACCACAATTAAGTGCACCGTGTTCCTCTTGCCTCATACGCTCACTCTGTTTGGCGAATCTGATTTCTGTGGCTTTTGGACTGGACAGTGAGATCCTTACACGACGAATTTTTAATCTGAGGGCTTATAATTTCAATTGGAATGCAATATACTTTTTTGAGTAAAATTTCTATCGGCTTACGTAAGCGTTTCGTCAAATTCTTGCAACAGGTCCTTATTTGCTCCCACGTCCACGTCAGGCCCTGTTCCTTCAAACATCTTTCCAGGTCCATGAATATGTGCTTACTTTTCGCCGCTTGCTATCGAGCAAATCACTGTTTTTTCTCGTTGACTAAAGCTAGCAACGTCGTTATTTTATCATCTGTCCACATGGTGCGTGGAGCCCGCGAGAATGTCATCGTGCCTAGCGCGCGCGTACTGGCCGACAGAGAAAGAGCAACGTCGGAGTGATGGGGACAGGGGAAGCGGAGACCGCGACGGGCGGGAGAGGTCACGAGCCATCAACTCAGCGCGACCGGTTATACATGACCTTTTGAGCGCGGCGAGTTCGGTGAACCTACCCCCTGTCTCTGGGTCGACGGGACTCGCCACGACGACTCTCGGCCCCTATGCGTCCGCTTATACATGGGGAGGGCGAGTCCAGAAAACCTGTTTATTTCGACTCAACGCGCCCTCGTCGGGTCAATGTAAACGGGCCTTGTCTTGGTATTTTTTCTCAGTTTGCACCAGCTGTACTTTATGGCTGTGTTGGTGTCTTGGCTAAAATTGCACAACGCGATGGCAGCAGTGGTTCTGTTGCGGCACAGCACTCGATGCAGGCGTATCCGCAGCCTGACGCACTGTCCCCTGTTCACCCCTGGCTGGCCTCTCCAGGAATTTGCCGTACCGAATATAAATAATATTTTCTCGCGTAAAACAAAGATTTGTATTAAACTTACAGAAATAAATATCGTTTCTGCACCCTTTGAAATGATCCAAAGTGTATATTTTTAAATGGAGCGCCACACAGACCGATAAGTGCCTGAACATGAGCAATATTGCCAATTTTTCAAAGTTCATGCGCCAGCGCTTCCAAACTACTGTCTTCGTGACTCGTGTTTTTCCCCCACTTACCGTCAACAATGCAAGCAAGCTATGTAGCTGCGTTGTCTCTGGAAAAGTTGAAGTGCTGTAAAAATTTCTGACTTTGCTCAAGAACACTGCATTGCTTCCCCGCAAAGCACATTAACATACACTAGTGGTGAATGCGTTTTAACAAGGAAATGCGGTTCTTTTCCTACCGACTGGAATCGTTTTACCGTGCTGCGTATAATATTTCACTTTTTTGAAGTTTTGTCGCAACCTAACTGCCACCATAATTAAAAATTAAAATTTTCTTTAGACAATTGGTTCAAAAAATGAATAGTGTAGTAAAGTGACCAACCACAACTTTTTATAGTGTAATCGTAGATGGTCTAGCGTACTGTCTGGGATATTTGGCGTGGAACGACCCTCATTTCCTCCAAAACCCGAACACTAAACCCAAAAAAACGTTCGAAATGCCTAAGTCCATTCAGGGATTCATGAAACACGAATTAAAAAGAACGAAACCAACCCTCGACTACGCTTTTCCTCTGGGGGAAATTACATGTGTTGGTAAAGGCACTTAATTTTTGTGATAAAGTCAATTTACACCACTTGCAAAAAAACCCAAAACTTACAAAGAATAAAATACCCGAAAGTATTTGCATTTTCATAGTCGAACCTGGCTGTGAAGAACGCAAAATAAATGCAAGCGGAGTTGGAATGCTGCGCATTAGTAGACAATTCTGTGAATTTACGCAAATGTATTCTGATGGTGAGGTGACCAGAAACTTTATTAAAGCGTTCATGTGCACGTATATGAGATTTCTGGCGCACAAGCCGATTTCCTGCTACGGGCAGAGCAAAATAGCCGGTCGTGAGAACGATAACGAACAAGCTCTCGTAGGACGTGCCAAGCAAGATTTAAGCGTAAAAGTGATCTGCATTTACCGCATAACAGAACGATGTCCTCCGCGCGTACCGCGCGTACCGGCCGACAGAGAAAGAGCAACGTCGGAGTGATGGGGACAGGGGAAGCGGAGACCGCGACGGGCGGGAGAGGTCAAGAGCCGTCAACTCAGCGCGACCGGTTATACATGCCCTTTCTGAGCGCGGCGAGTTGGGTGAACCTACCCCCTGTCGCCGGGTCGACGGGACTCGCCGCGACGACTCTCCGCCCCGACGCGTCCGCTTATACATGGGGAGGGCGAGTCCAGAAAACCTGTTTATTTCGACTCAACGCGCCCTCGTCGGGTCAATGTAAACGGGCCTTTACTAGAAGGGACGTGGACCACTGGGCTAGTGGGTGTGTGCTTCTGGGGATGAAAAGTAGGTAATCACCGGTAAGTAACTTGACCGACAGAAGGAACGTGGGTCGGGATGTGGGAGGCGTCTGATTCAAGGGAGTCTTATTAGGCACAAATAATTGCGCATGTGCTAGAACATGTCATCCTAAATCGTGTATCGCGCTACATAGAGGATCACGAACTCTTTCCGTTCAACATGGTCGGGTTCCGTCCGCACCTTTCAACACAAGACGTCATGCTATTACTAAAGAAACAGATCTTCGACTCAAAAACGAGAGATGTTCGTGGCATTCTCGCCCTAGACCTCACTAAAGCATTCGACAGCGTCACACACCGCTTTATACTGGAATCCATTGCCAGCCTTGGTCTCGGTAAAAGATTCCAGGCGTACATTCGTTCTTTTCTGCAAAATCGAACAGCTCAGCTGCATTTATCGCAACTTACATCCGATACTTACACATTAGGTTCCAACGGGACACCACAAGGGGCAGTCATTTCTCCACTCCTTTTTAACATAGTAATGAAGGGACTATCTGACAAACTCCGCGACATCCCAAACATAAACCATGCTATATACGCAGATGACATCACCATCTGGTGCCCGGGAGGCTCATTGGCGGAGTTGGAGCAAGCCCTTCAAACTGCTCTCGATACCACAGAAGCCTACTTAAAAAACACTGGACTTCGTTTGTCGCCCACAAAATCAGAGTTGCTACTGTACCGGCAATCTCGCCAAGGCGTTCGTAACTTAACACCCTTAGGTGATCTACCCATAGCGCTACACGCCAAAGATGGGCAGCGAATACCCCGAGTGGACTCCATACGCATTCTCGGCCTCCTCGTCGAGGCCACTGGCTGTCATGCAAGAACAATTAAACATATCACAGCAAAAACAGAGAACATGCTCCGACTCATTCAGCGAGTCTCGGGTCGTAGACGAGGCCTTGGAGAGGCCAACCTTCTGCGCATATACCACGCGTTTCTAATGAGTCACATCAATTACGTCGCCTCTG